ACTGTTAGATATGGATGTAACAGTAGTTTTACGGGATGACATATTTTGGAATAAAATAGAAAAGAAATTAACCGATTTTTATTTACAGTGCTTGGTTCCTGAAATAATAGACAGTCGCTTCTTAAGGAATTGCCCTCTTCGCGAACCTAAGGATATTATAGATGCAAGAAAGCCTTACTTAGCTGGAAGACAAAAAACAGCAAAAAGGAAATTCAGTAACATTCTACAGAAATGTATCGAAGCTGAGGCACAAAATGTAAATAATGAGGACACCCCAAAAATAGATGCAATTGAAGAACAATGCAAACCTTTGCCTAAAATTAATAACGTTGATGAAGACATTTTAAGAAAGAGTGCAAAAAAAATGAAATTTTCCGATAATTGGGCACTTCCTCCTATAAAAAGTATGGAAAACATTTTGCTACCAACAGAAATGGAAATACAGACGTTCAAAGCAATTGTAAATGCTGAACCAAATATTGATGAATTAAAAAATATAATACTAGACGTGAATGAACAATTGGATGATGCATGCATAGATGCATTCGTCAAAGTATTACAAGAGAATGTTCCAGACATGGAATTTTTAAGTGTGCACCATCTTGCTTACCCTGAATTTATTACACCATGTCAGAAAAATAAGGATTTGCAAATAGTCGGTGGACTGGAATCTCAACATTGGCGTTGCTTATATTTCTACGAACAAATTTTATACATATACGACAGTTTATTCATGCCAACGTTTAACGATCTGACAGAAAGAGAAAGAGTTTATATCAAACTACGTTACCCAAACCTCGACACAAAAAACGTTATACCTCTTCAAGTCACTAGACAACCAGACTTGAAAATCTGTGGTGTTTTTGCAGGAGCAATTGGCATGACTTTAGCTGTAAACGAGGATCCATGTATTCAAGATTATTCAACAGATCCGCTTGAAATACGTAAGCATTTCTTTTTTATCATTCAAAGTAGAGAATTAGGACGTTTCCCCTTAAAAATGGATAATGTAATTGAGATAACTGATGATTGAAAAGATCTTAGATTGACATTGCTTTCAATTTAAGATTTACTTTTCGTAATTTTTCAGAGTACTACGTCATATATATTTAAAAATATGACGTTGTACAGCAGCGAGGGATTTTTACATCATTTTCAAAGTACAAAGTCACAAATTCTTATGAATATGACGTTGTACAGCAGCGAGGGATTTTTTCTTTTATTTCAGAGTACAACGTTACAAATTCTTTTGAATATGACGTTGTACAGCAGCGAGGAATTTTTACATCATTTTTAGAGTACAACGTCACAAATTCCTATGAATATGACGTTGTACAGCAGCGAGGAATTTTTACATCATTTTCAAAGTACAACGTCACAAATTCTTATGAATATGACGTTGTACAGCAGCGAGGGAATTTTTTCTTTTATTTCAGAGTACAACGTCACAAATTCTTATGAATATGACGTTGTACAGCAGCGAGGGATTTTTACATTATTTTCAAAGTACAACGTCACAAATTCTTATGAATATGACGTTGTACAGCAGCGAGGGAATTTTTTCTTTTATTTCAGAGTACAACGTCACAAATTCTTATGAATATGACGTTGTACAGCAGCGAGGGATTTTTACATCATTTTCAAAGTACAACGTCACAAATTCTTATGAATATGACGTTGTACAGCAGCGAGGGATTTGTTGTTATTTAGATTTTAACATTTTAATTTCAAAATCACGTTATGTATAGAGAAGTACGTCATGTAAGTGTGACATTGTACAGCAGCGAGGGATTTTTTTCTTTTATTTCAGAGTAGAAGGTCACAAATTCTTATGAATTTGAAGTTCTACAGCAGCAAGGGCCATTGTGTATTTGAAAAATTGACCTTAGCAACTACAACTTGTTTGCTGAAAAATCAATATTTTCCTAGGCTTGAAAGGCTTAAAAATGTAATAATTTATATGCGCTTACTTTATAAAAACAATACAAATTAAATAATTGTAACACTTTTACTATTATGTACACGGAGAAAAAAATCAAGCGAATATAGTAGCGACAGTAACTATACTACTTTCGTGTGTGCGCTTTCTACGATATTTGCAGGGATCTATACTCGTTTGGTATAGGACACTGCAAATTGGGTATGTTTTTTTACGAATATCGTAGAAAGCGCACGCGCGAAAGTAGTATAATTACTGTCTACTATATTCGCTTGATTTTTTTCTCCGTGTATTTAAATTGTTCGTATCTATCTGGGTACAGAAATATTTTAAAATAATTCTTAAAATTTAATTTTCCTATTTCAAAAATTGAAAATTAAAAATTGTACTTTTTTATTATATACGTTTGAGAAAATTAATAAAAGAATTTTTGATTTATTAAAGTGAAAATTAATTTCAATTTTTCAAATTTCAAAAAATTTTTGATTTTTTTGAAACTGAAATTTTTTTCGAATTTTCATAAGAGAAAAAAAATTTTTGATTTTCTTTGAATGTAAAAATTTTGTTGAATTTTTCAAATTTCAAAAAGTTTGAATATTTTTCAGAAAAAATTTTTTTTGTTTTTTTTGGAAGTGAAATTTTTTTTGAAGTTTTCAAATTTAAAAAATTTTGAGATTTTTGAGAAAAAAAAATATTTGATTTTCTTTGAATGTGAAAATTTTGTTCAATTTTTCAAATTTCAAAAAGTTTGAATATTTTTGAGGAAAAATTTTTTTTGATTTTTTTGAAACTGAAATTTTTTTCGAATTTTCATAAGAGAAAAAAAATTTTTGATTTTCTTTGAATGTAAAAATTTTGTTGAATTTTTCAAATTTCAAAAAGTTTGAATATTTTTCAGAAAAAATTTTTTTTGTTTTTTTTGGAAGTGAAAATTTTTTTGAAGTTTTCAAATTTAAAAAATTTTGAGATTTTTGAGAAAAAAAAATTTTTGATTTTCTTTGAATGTAAAAATTTTGTTGAATTTTTCAAATTTCAAAAGGTTTGAATATTTTTCAAAAAAGAAAACTTTTTTATTTTTTTTTCGAATTTTCATAAGTTTCAAAAATTTTGAGAATTTTGAGAAAAAAAATTTTTGGGTTTTTTGAAATTAAAAAATTTTGTGTTTTTTCAGAAAAAAGATTTTTTTACATTTTTTGAATTTAAAATATTCAAAAAAATTTTAATATTACTACAGCATAAATAACAAAATTGTTACAAAATTGTTGTATTGTTTTTTTATAAAGAAAAACATAAATTATACTATAAGTATTGCCTACAGCAAAAATATTTGAATTTTTTAATTACGAAATTTCAAATTTTATTTTTGAATGTATTTTGAAATTTACCGCCCCAATTAGTGATGTGAACACACTTCTTCAAGCAGCCGCACGGACCCAATTGGCGGCGCTCGAATCAGTGCAGTAAGCAGTGGACTATACATTCACCGCACTCTACAGTTGATGCATGGAAATCGTCGCCCAGAGGATAAATCAAGAGAGAAGATTTTATTTATAAAATATTGTTTTTATTCATTTTTTTTTTTTAGAATTAAAATTTAATCTTTTTTTTATTATTTTTTATTAATTTCTATTTCATTTTCAAAAAAAAATTCATCCTGGAGCACTTGACGACTCAATAACATGTCCTTAAAGAATTTAGCTAAAAATAATCTTCGGTAATATATTAAAACCTATTAAGTTATTAATTAATTCTTTAATTTCAGAATATACAAAATTTATTTTACGGGTGCAAGTTAGAATATTAAGGTTTACGTTTATATTAAAATATACACAAATTTATTGAAATTAAAAAAAAATGTATTAAATACAAAAATTAAAATAATATTTAATATTTTTTGATAATATACATGTTACGTCCCGAGCTGAACGCGTTTTTAATTGTATTTGTTGTTTAATTTTCTTCGGAAATTAGCTGATTTATCAAGTTGGTAAGACTTGACATTTATTTTTACGTGGGTTGTTTTCACTTTAACAAAACTATGGGCTTTGCGTTACAATAACAAGGCTGATAACTCCCATTTATGATATTTATTGGTTAACAATTTATTTACTACAATGTTTTAATACAATGTTGTATTTACTTACTTTGACAATTATCGCAGTTAATCAATCGTACACAGCTTAGTCGTTATAATTTTTTTCTTCAATCAGTTGAGTTTCAATTGAATGAAACTATAAGTTCGTTATATCACTTTGGTAACAAAACGACTTTTATGCTTTATTATAGTGGTTTTTAAGCTCATACACTTATTTCGCGTTGTTTTATTAACACTTGAAGCTATAAGAAAAGAAACTTGTTTCTTTAAGTGCAGGAAAAGCAACTCGCAAAATTAATGTAATGTAACTTTATTAGTTAAACCCCTAATGTACGACAATTAATTCAATTTTGTTAATATTTCTAAGCGTTAATGTTGCTTTTCTTGCACCTTCAGAAGGAAAGAAACTTGTTTCTAAGTGAAAAACAATTGAACTTGCACCGAAACACGGAAAGAATACAATAATTTTTATAGAATAATTGAAGGGTCGCTCTACGACACACGATGGAAATTTTATCGGAACTTATGACATCTACAATGGTAATTCCTTAGGTTTATATAGCAATTAAAAACCACTAGAATGGGGATGAAATAGGAAATAGCACGCACTTGAGCCAAAATCTAGAAGTCACGTTTTCTCGCCGATTTCTAGAAAGCACGTACAGAGTATCATGTTTCTCTTGGTGTATGTGTTCTCGATCGTAGAGCAAGACCAATGATGATTCTTTTTAATAATCATTGATCCCATTACGATCGTCATTGTTTAATAAAAATTACAACCCCTTTGCGATATAAACTAATCTACATTTATGCATATAATTGATTATATATCTATCAGGCCTGATATACATACACACATATACACATACGCATACACATATACACACACATATATATACATATATATACATATATATATATATATATACATATATATATATATATATTATTTGTTATCGACGCCTGTCATTCACGAAAAAGAATATTAATATTTTTCTATACGTAAAAAATTCTTTTTTTAAATAACTCTAAACAAAAATTGTATTGCACAAAAACAAAAATTGCAACTTTATTGCATTTTAAGTGAAAATTTAATAATAGTTCTTTTATATTTATCTTAACCCTAGACAGTAATACGTAACTGGCTCATACGTAGAAGTAAAATTGGAAACCATCCCAACAATTTTTTGTTCATAAAATACTTATATTTAAGGCAAAACTACTTTATTATATGCCATTTTCTTGTTTCTTTTTTAATGCAGAAGAAAGCATTCTATGTTTTTATTACGATCAGATATATTGTAAAAAAATTACAAATTCCAAAAGAAAAAATTTCCAACAAATTTAGTAATTTGAATTTGTTTTGTGGTACATTTATACCTCAGTTGTGCTGTATAGGGTTTACAAACAGTAATCGTGAAGACAGACAGCGATACACATATAATATAAAAGTCAGTCTTGTCAATTTTTTTTACAAATATCATATAATTAAAGAATCTATAAATCATAAAATAAAAATTATTGTCAGACTGTTGAGAACTTTTATCTCAAATGAGGTGTCGATTAGGGTGGTCCAAAAGAAGTTTAATTTTGAAAATTGTTTGACGGCCCCCCTACATATCGGTGCCAATTTAAAAAAAATGAACAATCTTTTTATTTTTTTTAGAAAAAACCATATTAACATGTGACACAGACACCATTTATTTTCCTATTAATAATAGATGGGAAAAATAGATGTTTTTAAAATAATAAACATTTCTAATGTTAATTGTAATAAAGAAGCTGAGAATTTATAGGAAACTTAGAAAAATGGTCTAAGTTTAGTAATCAGTCCAAAAATATTAATTTATTTAAATGAAACTTCCACCTAGAATGTTTCAAAAGACCCACCCTTGGAATACCTTAGGGCACCCGTGAGGGTTAATTTTTAAAAAATTAATATTTCTCGATGGATTCAAAAAATTTGACCATTTTGGTCTGTCATACAATTTCGAGCTTTTTTTATGAAAAATCTTATTTTTTAGAGCACCCTATTGCCGATGTTAGAAGTCATATTAATGAAATTATATTAGTGAACAAAAATTTAATTATTCTTCTTCTTCTTCTTCGTTAACTGCAACATCTTTGTCTTTTTTCTTATGAATTTGTCCATCATTTGTTCTTTTTAATTCCCTGAAACCTGCTATTGTCTCTTGGAAACTTAAACTTCGTTCCTCTAAGATTTCAATATCTTCCTCGCTTTTTATTTGAAGAAATATTCTTGTACCTTTAAACATAAATATAATAAAAATTAAAAATACATATTTTATTAAGGAGATGCCTAATTACAAAATTTAAATGACTTTATTTTTTTTATTTTATTATATAACAATGGACTCAGGTTGGAATAGAATTTATATTTTATAACCGTTATTTTTATAAATAACTTTTTTCATTAAATTTCTTTTTGTATTAAAAAGAAGGTGTGAGATAAATACATTAACCCTTACATTTCAAATCACAGTATTCAGCCATAATGACGGAAAGCATAGAGTTTTTTAAAATCGTGTGCAAAATGGAAAATGAGAGATGTTTGGTTACAATATGAATGTAAAATGATATTGAATCCCAAATTGCAAGAATGTAATAAATAATAAAAAATTCCAAAAGTATTCTCAAGAACCAAGAAAATATACATCAAATATTTTTCTTAAATTTACGTTTTCTTAAAAATATTCTTAATTCATTGTATTATATTTAAATTAAGGCTAATTGTCACTGACCCTCTGAATCATAGCCAGTTGCATAAAGTTATTTCGCTTGAAGTGGGGAAGGCCTCTTAATGTCACTGTATTCCATGTGTCAAAGGGACTTATTTTACCGGCGAAAACAATTTACGTGCCCTTCGAAAATCCAGTGGCTAATTTTACATTTATATTATAAAACTAAAAGGTTCGTACTTTAATTTTTTAGTCGATTTCCAAAAACATTCCATGCTTTTGATCGTTTTGACCGAATATTGGCTTTTATCTGGCATATTTGGGGTATTTTACGTGAAATGTAGCAGTTACAAAAATTCCCAAAAGTTTCGTAAACTTTAGTCCTATTATATACTACTTAAAATAACAAATATTAGTAAATATATTTATTAAAATAAAATATATTTCTAAAAGGTTTTTTACATACTTTTTAATGACGATTTCTTTTTTAAAGAAATTTTAATTTGACTTTCAAAAGTGGAAAATAAATATTTCATTTTACTTTATGAGACATTTGCATTTAAAAAAGAAAATTTTTATCCTTTTTCTACGCAAATAAATTCTACATGAAAAAGCTCTACACGTTAGAATTAAATAAGATAAAACGTTTATTTTAATGTATTTAATTCTACACAGTTCAATACTTCAACTGAAAACTCTTAGCAATAATTTATTTTGAAATAAAAAAAAATTTTCATCATTTTGCTAATTCAATTTTGAATACTACGCAGTTAATTTGAAGAACGGAAAATTATACACCGTTTGATAAATTTTATTAACTACATTTAAAAAAAATTCATCAGAAATAAATTCTACAGAAGAAAACTCTGCACATTTGAATTAAATATTATTAAATGTTTAATTTTTTTTTGATATTACACCGGATAATTTTACAAATTTTAATTCTACGCAGGAAAGAAATATAATAATTTCGTTAATATAATTTTTAACTTTAAGCAGTTAAATTATACCACAAGAAACTCTTCATAACTAGATAAATTGTGTTTAAACACATTTGAAAAGAAGTTGTATCCAAATATATTCTAGAGAAAAAAGCTCTACGCAATCCAATAAAAGAAAATAAAAAATTTAATTGGACTGTGTAGTAATTTTTTCTATGAAATTTATTTGTGTCGAACTTTTTTTAAAAATTCATTTAAACAAAATTTACTGAATTGTGTAGTTTCTTGTGGTTCAATTGAATTGCGTAAATTTAAAAATCAAATTTTAATAAAATAATTATATAATTTTTATTGCGTTAAAATAAATTGTATACAATTTTGTGATGTAGTGTTTAACTGTGCAGAATGAAATAATTTTAATTAAACATTTTATTTTATTTTATTGTCATGTGTAGATTTTTTTTGTAAAATTGAATTGTGTAGAATTAATATATCTCATTTAAATATACTGTGTAAAGTTTCATTTTGTATAATTAATTGTGTAGAATTTTGTTTATTGGATTTAATTGCGTACAATAGCTACTACCCCACTTTTTACAGACTTTTTTACTGACTCGCGTAAATTTACAGACTTTACGGAAAATCAGGCAAAAATAATGACTTTTACAGACCTCCGACTTTACTGACTTTTACGGAAAATACTGATCCAGTTCGCGCCCTGCATATCTTTAATAAATAAGAGATCAGCTGCGTTTCGAAAAAAAATTTTTAATGTTAATTTTCTACAAAATTGTATTTCATTCTTATTTTCCAATATAGAAGGTTAAATTCTGATTATGAAAAATAAAGAAAATCACCATTAAAAAGTATGTTAAAGAACTTTTCAAAAACACTGCTTTCATTATGAATCTTACCTTGCGTGTTAATATTGCCTATTAAATTAACAGGGTTCCCTTTTAAGCCTTTGAAGGTACCTTTAAATGAGGCAATCCTCACTTCCATTTTGTAGGTGCCATCGGTAATGGATCCACATCCATACGTACCCAAATTTTTATGCATTCCAATACGCTCCTCTACAAATTTACTTTTAATGTAGCCATGAACTCCTGTAAACAATATTTCTCATATCAATAATATACAATACATATATAAAAATACATAATAATATATATTTAATTTTAGGGAGGTGTGTTACATAAAAATTGAAATAACTATAAATCATAAAAAAAATATAAATATATAATTTTATTATGTTTCATATTTAGGGGTAAATTTTATGAAATGCAAGAATTGTAGAGGTATAAGAAAATAGATAGAAAGTCATGAAAAATTGGTAATATATGTTTGGAGAATAGAAAGAAATTTAACATTGACCAAAAAAATGTATTTTCTTATTAAGAAAAAAGAAATCAATCAAAATACGTATAAGAAACGCTGTCTCAATAAATAATATACTATAATTTATTAAGAAGAACAAATAAAATTTTCCAGTAATGGTCGTATAGTTAAAATATACCTTAAATAATATGAGCAAAATATGAATATTTACTATAAGTTTTGATAAAAGTTGTATTTTAATTAATAAATTGTAGTGTACTATTATTTGGTAGAGTGTCTCACAATTGGGTTTACAAAAAAATGTTTTTCTCCCATTGAAATTACATAGGAAACTTTGAGCAATTTAAGCTACCTTTAAACATTAAAAAAATACAGGGGTACTGCTTTTTTAAATAGAACAATCCTAGAGGGTGAGATAATTAAAAAAATTTGTTTTAGACCATCGTAATGTGCTAACTATCGCATAGTTAAAATAGCTGACAAGCTGACAAGTTAGCGTTCCAGAATCCAACCAGTGACATATTTTACCTGACTATTTTTATTCCTGTAGAAATTAAAAAATTTTACAATAACTTTTATTACATTTCCTGACTTTTCCCTTATTTTTCTGATAAATTACACATTCTCTGAGATTTCTCTCCCTTCTTTAACTTCCCTTCATTTCTGTTAACTCTGTATAATATGAAAGTAACATTTGCATGCAATTATAATAAAATTTTTATAGAATTCTTAGAGAATTTGTACGAAATTTTTTATCGAAAATGACACAGGAATGTAAAAGGTACATTTTCCTAAGAATCATCTGATATGGTAAAAATAGTAAATAAATAATATTACTTAAAGTTTCGCCTTCATGGTGAATGACATCACTTAATGCCACTGTAGGAAAATCAAAATGTGGATCACTGATGATGATGTGCTTTCCTAGGGACGTAATTACAGTTTTTGCAAATAATTGCAATTCGTAATTAAAATTTCCGAAATTATATTCTGGCTTTGACGGTACACGGGAGAAAGCACCGTCAATATGTAAAATCTACAATTAAAAAAGAAGTATCTTATTTATATTATACAAATTTGTAACGTATTCCATGTAAATTGAAAGATTTGAAAAATTTGCATTTATATCATTAGTTTAAAATTATGGAAAATTGTTGTCGTACGTTACAGAAAGCAATTCGGGAAATATTAATTGTCTTAAAACAAAATTCTTTTCAACATATAGAGTTAAAAATTATAAACATTAGGTAACATTGTTATTTTTAAATACGGAAGAATATTGCAACATTTTACAAATGGTAATTTCAATTTATTACATTTGAAGGAGAAACGTGCAGTAAGTTGAAGTCAAATGTCCTTTTGTGAAAAAGGTTTTTAAAAAAACTATATAAAATCAACTTATTATTTTCTAAGACAATTTATGTTACTACTAGTCAAATATGCAAGTAATTAAGAAAAGAAAATTGAAAATTTTTGATAGACTGGGTGGTTCCGGGAAAATTCATTTAAAATAAAATCATTATAAACTGTATATATTTTAAAGATTCCATGTGAAAAAGCTTTCCGCGAAACATATTATCACCTAGAATAGCAATAAGTAATATTAGTATCATTGAAAATATATTAATATAAATTTTTTGAAAATTCAGAAAGTCGAGAAAAGTTTTGATGATACGTGGCAACATCGCATTTAGTTGCATTTTATAATTCATCTTTTTTTAATCGTGTAGTATAGTCAGCAGTCTTTTATCAATATTTTTTTACTGTTAGAAATAACATTGTAAATTTTGTGAGTGGTTATTTTTAAATTTCGCGCTAAACGAAGTTCAATTTTGGAAATTTCAATGTTGCCGTGTCTCAAGGAACTTTTGCTTGAGTATCTCATTTATTTCACTTTAGAAATCTTTTTTACATATTAATCAGTGGTGAAGTGTTATTTAAAAAGTCACTTATTAACATAAATATATTAACTTTAAATATACTTCTTTCTCCGTGCGCATCTCCACTTTCACCGTCATTAAAAAGAAATAAGGGTAAAACGTATTTGAAATTTTTAAATTCTTGTCACATTCACTATATGACAATTTAAATATTAATAATTAAGCGCATTTTTAAAAAATAATTATGTTACTCAATATCGCGAAATTTTAAATTAATATTTCCAGATTTTCCTGGTTGCACATAGGACAATAATTTTCTACAATTCACTTTTTATGGAATTCCTCTCATTTGCCTGTCACATGTAATTCAGAGAGGTGAACATGTTATGTGGTGTGCAATTTTCTAAATACCTCATTAACGACAATAACATTTTCTAATGCTTTAATGTCTTCCGCTCCCCATATGATGGACTGGATTTTTCTTCCCTTTCCGGTATTTAAATAAAATCTTAACAATTGTGATTTTCCTTCACCTCGCTTCTCATTTTTGCTTTGCACAAATGCAATTAATTCTCTGTAACAATTAACAATTATTTGAATATTATACTCTTTGAATGAGAGTATATGTGACCTGGTATATGAAAAGGGACTTAGGTGCAAAAAAAAGTACGACATCAGTGCCAATTACAAAGAAATTAACACGTGTTTTTTTTATAAAACAATATTAAGGTGTGCCCCCTCTTCCTCTATTACAAATACGCAAAAAATGCATTTTTTTAAAAAATCAAGAGGTTCTTATGACAATTTAAAAAAAAAAAACTCCGAATTGTAGGAGACAACAAATAATGGTCAAAGTTTAGGAATACATCGAGAAATATTAATTTCTTCAAAAGTAACCGCCACCCACGATGCCCCAGTGTCTTGGGAGTTGGTTTTTTTGAAGCAATCTGGGTGGGGATTCATTTTGCTTCCTCGTGGAGGAAGCTTAGTAGTCCTTTCGTTTATAAAACTTTTCAAAGTGTCGGAAATAAATTTTTTTCTTTATAGAAACATGTTATATGAGATCCTGATCAATTGTCCGGATGTATGTATGTGTGTGTGTGGATCCCTTTTTTGTTTAGAAGATAACTTTAACTGGTTTTAATGGATTTACATAAAATTTGGTAGGCTCATTTATCATATTAATATCTCAAATCTGACCAACGGATTTTGAAAAATACCCTAAAAAAAATTTTATCGTCTTTTTTCCAAAAATTTTTTTTTAATCGAAAAAATTTTTAAATAGAAAAATTTAAGGTTATATATAATAAAATCGTATTCCTTATGTCAAGACGAATCGATCGATATATATATATATATATATATATATATATATATATATAAAGTATACATTTGAGCTAAATTTAAAGAATTAATGAAAGTAAAAAAATCAAAAATTCACATTTAGGCAATAAAATTTTATGATTTTTTAAATTGAAGTTTATATATGAAATAATTGTATTCCTTACGTCAAGACGAATCGATCGATATATATAGAGTATACATTTGAGGAAAAATTAAAGAATTAATGAAAGTTAAAAAATCAAAATCACATTTTGGCAATAAAATTTTGCTTTCTCCACGAGAAAGCAAATTTTTTTGCTGATCGTAAAGAGGAAACAAAATGTTCATGTAATGAACATCTGAATTTACAACTTGTTTAACAACTTATTATTTCCCGACGCATTCATAAACTTTGACCATTTTTGGAGGTCTCTTTCAATCTGAGGCTCTTTTATTACAATTTTTTAATTTCTAAAAAAAATTCATTTTTAACATGTTTTTGTAATGGAAAAATAAGAGGTGTTTGTGGCGCCCCTTAATATTGCTTATTAAAAAAGGTCATTTCTTTTGAAACTGATAGTAATATGGGGGGGCATCAAACACTGTTCAAAAATATACTTTTTTGAACCAAACATATTGTAGCAATAAACATACACAGTTTTGTCCCAAAATTCCACAGCATCTACTGCTTCATTTGATGAGAAATCCATTTCTATAACAAACGAAAAATGATTAATGAATAAAATGTATATTATTCTGTTTTTAATCATGAAATAATATCATCAGAAAATAATATTTATAACACTAATAATAACAACTTATTTTTTTATATCTTTCAAAAGAAAAAAAAATAATGCAAATCTAATAAATCATTAAATGACAGAAAATATTTTAAATATACAGTATCATATAATTCTCAAATACTATGAATATCATACAAATAAAGATATATTACAAATTATATAAATTATAGAAATAATATCAATCTCAAATATTTTAAAAATTAAACAAATATACAAAATTGATAAAAATACTAAGAATAAAAAGAATATAAAACGTTCTGAAATGATATAAATCATAAAAATAACTTATATTTTAAAAGCAATTTAAATAATGCAACGTTTAAAAGCAATATAATTCAAAAATATTACAATTATTATATCAATAATTCAGAATTATTAATGTTTAATTTAAAAATTATATATATATATATATATATAATATATATTATTATTAGTTTTAGTTATTTAAATTTATATTCATGTTATAATATAATATTATTTGTCAACAATGTTTTATTTGAAATAGTTTATCTTTTGCTATTATATATATATATATATATATATATATATATCTGTGACGCGCTCCGAGGAAAGGTACCTAAGAAGCAAATCATTTGAAGGTTATGTTTGTCGTAATTTTACCTTAATTAGAAGTTAATTTTTTGCTTCCTCGTGGAGGAAGCTATGTAGTCCTTTCGTTTATAAAATTTTTAAAAAATGGTGAAAACAAATTTTCCTCTATATAGAAACATGTCATATGAGATCCTGATCAATTGTCCGGATGTATGTATGTGTGTGTGTGTATGTGTGTGTGTGGATAGTTTTTGTGAACACGATATCTTTAACAGGTTTAAATGGATTTGGATAAAATTTGGTAGGCTTATTTAACACATTAATCTCTAAAAAATGACGAGAGGATTTTTAAAAATACCCCCAAAAAATAATTTTATCGTCTTTTTTCCAAAAATTTTAATATATAATACATAATATAATTGTCTTCCTTATGTCAAGATGAATTGATTGATATATATAAAGTATAGATTTGATTGAAATTTAAAGAATTAATGAAAGTTAAAAAATCAAAAATTCACATTTTAGCTAAAAAATGTTGTGTTTATTTAAATTCATGTTTATATATGAAATAATTTTATTCCCTGTATTGAAAGAAATTGGTTTGTATATATAAAGTATAGATTTGATTTAAAATTTGAGAATTAATAAAAATTGAAAAATCGAAAATTCATATTTTAGCTAAAAAATTTTGTGTTTTTTTAAAATTCAAGTTGATGAATAAAATAATTGTATTCCTTGCATTAAAACGAATCGATTGGTATATATAAAGTTTATGTTACACTCAAAATTAATAAAAATTTTCTTTATTTTTCAAAAAATTTAATTCATTTTAAATGTTTTTAATTCGAAATGTTTTAAATCAATGAATTGAATTGGACAAATTCATTGCTTTCTTCACGAGGAAGCGAATTTTTTGCTTCACACAATGAGGAAGCATAATGTTTATGAAATAAACATAAAGGACCCCCTCCTTGTTTATTATGTAAAGTAAAATCAGTTTTTATTGAATATTTTCAATGTTATGAAGATTTAAACACCAATAATTTATATTGAGAGTTGATTCCCTTTGTGTATTTTTACGTTAAAAATCACAAAAATTACCTAAAATTTTTTGCTTCTTAGGTACCTTTCCTCGGAGCACGTCACATATATATATATATATATAATGATCATATAAGAACTTATAACATTTATAACAACAATGAAAATAATACAAATATGACAAATAATTTAAATAATGCAAATAATACAAAGAATAAGAAAAACTGAAAAATAACAAATACTACTAATAATAAATATCAATAGAAAAAGGAATTGTCATCTATAGAAACAAAAAATGAGTTACAGAAAATCTTACAAAAATATTAAATTACATAATTCATACAAATAAGAAATAATATAAACATATTATAAATTACAGTAATTATACAAATTATGCAAGTAATACTAGCAGAAAAATAAAACAATTACAAACATTAAAATTACAAAAATGAAACGAATAATAAAAATTCAATAATCATATAAATAATTATAATTATTAAAATTACAAAAGAAATGAAGAGAAGAAAAATAATATTTTTTATACAAATAATGTAAATAATAATAACAATATTATATAAATATTATACATGTTATAAATATAAATAATTTCTTTTAACAATAATAGAAATTAATTATTACATAAAAAATTTGTATAATAAAAGTCATGTATAATATATATATATATATATATTGTTATTATGTAATATAAATAATAAAAATTATAGAGATTACATAAGCAATGGAAGGAATAAAAAGAACATAAATAAGAACAAACATGAAATAATTCAAATAATAAGAAATACAATAAAAACAATTATAAAAATAATGAAAACATTATAAATTACATACATTTATAGCATAGTAAAAATTAAATAAATAATAAACACAATACAAATCAGATCAAAAATAACATTTATAATACACATTTTTTCTTCTATAATTTACATGTAATTTTATTATATAGCATTTTAAACGAGAACAACTTCATCAAATTCTAGGTATAAGATACTATTCACTGTTCGTAAACAGGGAAGAAGAAAAGATGTAAATAACAGTGTATTTACATTTTTTTCAGTCATACGATAAGTTTATGGTCAATTAGATTATATGTCTTTCTTATAATATTTTCTGTTGAGGAACTTAGAAATTTTATGTTTTTAAAAGTTGTGAATAATGTCAGGAAATAAACTGTTTTCAAATAAATTGTAATGAAAATTCTACTAAATGTGATGCGCGTTAATTTTTTTGATATTGACTTCATTATTTTGAATTATAATTTTTATGGTTTTATGGCGTATTATTTTTTAGTAAAAAATTACAAATTTGGGAATGGAATATCTCTTACTTTTAATTGTGAAAATTTACTCTTTTCATTAATATATATTTTCTTGAAATATTATTTTTACAGTAAAACTTAATACTATTTTCTTTTCATTATTTTAATGATATAGAAATTACAATTATATTATTAAAATATATTAAAGAAAGAGAAGAATAAACAGATTATTCATTAAAAATTACATTATTGACAAGACTAACCTTTTTCAATATTGCGAAGAACCTTTGGTGTTTAAGCTTTACTGTAGATCCTTTCGTGACGAACACTTGAAGAACGTATTGGAACTTATGTAGCACTATCAATGCTTTCAAATTAATCGTATAAGTAATGCGCTTCCGCCACGCGCACATTCCAAAAACCTGCCAATCATAGTTGCTCCATATAGTCAGGCATTTTGAATTATGTACGGTCTCTTTACTGGTAGCCGGGTAGAAATGAGCGTAACTGAGTCAGTCACTGACACTTGACTGTTATTAAAACGTGCAAGGGTGGACGTTTTAGTGTCAGCCAGCTAGCAGTGAACGCCTCTGGGACGCTCACTGCCATCCGACTGATATTATAACGTGCAGGTTTCTACAATGAACCACATAAAAATAAAACAAGTAAATGAAACTATTAATATAAACACATTTATTACAAAATTTACTATGCAAATTCTGTTTGACACAATTATTTTTTACAGAAATCAATTATAATATTTGATATATTATTTAATTTACTTGCCTGATTTCTATGTAATATAAATTTTTGGATTTATTTTAAATTTATTTATTTTAAATTCTGGAAAAATTAGGTTCTTAAACAATTTTAATCCATATTTTTTGAAGATATGTTGATTTTAACATTTTTGAAAATATTTATTTTCATTTATTTCACAATAAACGGGACAAGTCCTTTCGACAAGCCCAAAATATGAAATGAAAATTTTCTTTTACAACAGAAATTTCGTAACATTTTATTAAAAATAATTAAAATGTTTGAAGAATTTAATACAAATTGTCAAAAAATTCCAATTTAAAAATTGATAAGTGAATTTCAGATAAAGCCACAATACAAGAAATTCATCTATTTTTTAGTATTAAAGCATTATCAAAAATTGTAAGTTGCATCTAAAAATAAATAAATTTTGGTAAAATTACAATTAAAATTTCACATATTACGTAAATTTAAAAATATTTAAAATTAAAAATTTCAAAAGATTAACGTTTTGAACAATTTCATTGAAATAGGTATCTAAAAAAATTAGGATTTTTAAAATAATTAAATTCCATTTTTTTAAATTTAATTTTCAAAAATAATTAATTAAACATTTTTTTTAAATAATTGAATGTCGTAAAATTGTATTGAATTAAATATTTTAAAGAATTTCAGTATATGTAATGCTTCACGAGAAATGAGACCTTAGGGTAAAAAGATATAGCTTCAAAATTTTTGATGTCAATTGATAAATTGTAGTTTCTGTAATTCTTGTAAAAATGACAAAAAGTTGAACTCAAATACATTTAACCCGGCGACTATGTGGTTGGGCATCTCATGCCCCACATTTATTTGAAATATATTAATTCCTATAATTTTCATTCTAGCGTTTTGGTACTTCGAGTAGCTGGAGTTATCGTAGTGTATTTATTAGATACCTTTTTATAATATAATACCAAAAATTAACTTAATGTAGTAAAATCTAACTTCTAATAGCAATTTTACAGTCAGGGCATGTCATGCCCACCACATAGTCGGTGTAACAGTTTCGTGCCACATACTCGCCGGGTTAATAAAGTAAAGCACATAACTATAAATTAAAAATCTTTTAATTCACATAAATATTTCAAAATCTATTGCGAAACCGTAAGGTCCCTTTTCTCGTGGAGAAATATATATATATATATATATCTATGGTCGATTCCACGTGAAATTTACCAATGGTATATAACTCTGAAATTATGGAATTTAAACAATTTTTCCAAGATAAGAAATTGTAATTTTTTTATCGACTTTTGAATAGTGTTAACGGAAAAAAAATTTTGTTAATTTTTATTAAAGAAATAGTAATTTTATATAAACAAATTATTATTTTTTAAATTTGGGTACAATTTTATTTAATTATTTTTATAAATACTTGGAAATAATTACAAAAGTTTGCAAAAAGTTGTAGAGTGGGCCTGATGAAACTTTTTGTTTAAATAATTTATTTTAGAAAAATTTTTGTTTTTCTTTTTATTTTTCACATCAAAAAGTTTTTCTGTCGCTTTACTCATAAAAAAGCAAAATAATATACTTTTTGACGTGAATAAAAAGAAAAAGGAAAAAAAAATATTTTCTTAACAAATTATTTAAACAAAAAGATCCATCATGTCCACTCTAAAACTTTTTGCAAACTTTTATTATTATTTTCAGGTATTTATTTATAAAAAAATATTTCAAACGAATCATGTCCAAATGACAAAAGTCAGTTACCGCTCCAAAAATAATTCGCAGCTGACCTTTATGGATATCTGTGTACTCCTCGGTAAAGGTGTGCTTTTACTCGAGATTTAGCTTTGCCGCGCCACCCATAGGAGCTGCAGCGTCACTATAATTTTCTCAGTGTATAAAAAAAATGTATCCGTTTTTTTCCTATAGATTTTTATTTAATATTTAAAATGTAATGTGGGAATTTGTCTTTTCTTTCTTCTTTCTATTTTTAAAGTTATGTAAAATATTGTACATACTTCTTTGTAAAATTTCTTAAAAATAAAATTTTTTTGTAATATAACTGTGACGCGCTCTGAAGAAAGGGATCTTAGAAGCAAAAAATTGTAGGTTATGTTTGAAAGTTTTGGAATGAAAATACACGAAGAGGATTAACTCTCAATACAGATCACTGATTTTAAACTCTTCATTACACCCAAAATATTTAGTAAAAACTATTGTTGATTTTACATAACTCAATAAAAACATTTAATCAAGGTAAAATTGTACCAAACATAACCTCAAAGTGATTTTCTTCTAAGGTCCTTTTCTTCAGAGCGCGGCACAACTATATTAACTTTCTAAAATTCATCAAAAAACTTAAGTTAAGTTACAACTATTTCTTACAAATTTAATTTATAATTAACATTAACAAATTATTTTGAGGGTTTGTTTGTGTTTCGACATCTAACCATTGACATGAAGAGGGAGTACCATAGTTTAGTTATTCTGTAAATATCCGGTCTCACGACCTATGATCTAATTTTGAGGTTATGATCGCATCTTGACCTATGAGCTTTGACCTAATTTTGAGATAATGTTCATAGTTTGTCTACAACCTAACTTTCAGGCTATGATTGACTCAGGTTTTATGAAACTTGATCTATTTTTCAGGTTATGTTCGCATATTGACTTTTGATATGAAGGTAAAATTCGATTCTTGGATTATATTTTCTTACCTATTTTGTAGATAAGGTTCGCCTCAAGTTCTATGATATTTGACCTATTTTAGAGGTTATGTTTGCATCTTGACATATACTACTTTATCTAATTTTGAGGTTGTTTTTGTATTTTGACTGATGTTCTTTGACCTATTTTAAAAGTCGTGTTTACTTTTTGATCTATGACCTAATTTTGATGATCATGTTCGCTTATTGACGTATGACCATGGCTCAATTGAAGGTCATATTCGCAAATTTACCTATAACCTAGACCTAATTTTAAGGTTATATTCTTGATTCCTGTTAATAAATCGATGATTTTAAATTGACTGGACTTCTATGAAATCATCAAGTTTCATTTCATTCAGCTTATTCGTGTTTAAGTGATGCGCGAACAAAGGTTTGCATGCATTAGACAGACAGTCAATAACTTTTTTAGAGTTTAGGATTCTTAATGTGTAAGAACGAAACAATACATAAAATTTTTCATGTTTAGAGCAATGTAAGACATAACACCGATACAAGTAATATCTATATAGATAAATCTAAAAAAAAGAAAAAAAATTTTAATCCTTAAAGCACACACTTCGAAAAAATTGAATAAACCGCACAGTGGGTGTTTAACACTCACAATTTTCTAAATTAAATTCTAAATTAACTTAAGGTAGCTCAGTACATCTATTTTAAAGAAAAATAGTTTTCATAGACATTTATTTAATGTTAATAATTAAAACAGAAAAGTTTGTAATCGAAACAAATATAAACATTAGACTTTTCACTAAAAAATGTACAACTATCAAAATTTCTTATATTTGTAACTAAAACTTTGTGCATATACTCTTAAAATATAACACATTTATGAGAAAAAATAGGGTAATATTGTTCCTTACTAAATAAAATGTTGGAAAGGAAAAGTTGAAAATGGGTATCACAAAAATATTCCCGCTTGATATCAGCTTGACATTCAAGCAATATTCCGTGCTACTTGGGTGGTAGATCCAATATAAAGAAATTTTTTTTTATATTTCTAATATTAAATTTTTTTGAAAAAAAATGAATAAAAAATATGGTTAATACACACTAGCAACGTAGTCGGCCGCTTGCGGACGACCAAGTTGCTAGTTTAGAATAAAGCATGTGCAATATACAAGTTGTAAGACACCTATGTAACTCTTCAATCAAAAAAAATTTTATTATATATGTTTTATTGAAAATTTAAATCTTTTAACTTAGAGATTCTGTAACACTAATATTCCTTGAAAAATACTGATAAATTCAAAAGTTTTATAAATAAAATTGTCAAAATAAATTTATTAATTAATGATTTTTTTTTAGATACGATAAAAACAATTGACAAATCGAAACAACTTTCCCGACCTCGTTCCAAGTCACCTAAACGTCGTCGATCTCGGTCTGATTCTCGATCCTCTCCTGGTCCACGACAAAGTTCTCCACCGTTAGTCCCACCACCTCCAAAACCTCACCATTCTCGCTCTTCATCTAATGCACAATTACATCATGGTAAATAACCTCTTAATAACAAAACTCGATTTATATAATTTAATTAAAATTGATTTTTTTATGTCGCTCTAAATCACAACAACGTAAATATTCTCGCTTTACTCCACAGAAAATTAAAAGGCATTAAAATAAGCTGCAACGCTTATTATTTTAATTCAATTTTGCTTTATTTTAATCCATTTTGGTATTAAAATAAGCAAAATTGGATTAAAATAATAAGCGTTGCAGCTTATTTTAATACCATATAATTTTCTGTGTCCTCGATCCAATTCAGGTACACAGCAATGTTCTTTTTGTGGCTCCCGATCAAATTCAAAAGATCAACAAAGTGGCGTTTTTAAAAAAATAAAAACAAATTCTGTTGGAGTTCAG